CCATTCACATCCACTGCATCCGCCTAGCCTGGATCTGAGCATATATTTGCATGCGCGGATGCAAGTCTCTAAAGGAAAGCTAGCCAACCAAACATGCTTCTTCAACAAAATATATACGCACGCGTAGATGCAGTCTGGGCGGAAACACGGGACCAAACACGTCCTATGAAACTCTCTCTCTTTCTTCATATTTACCCTATCAAGTCGTCAAATCTGCTCATGTGTCTATTCTAGATATTAAATATGAATGACACTCGCATAAAACACTCACAAAGACTAGCCTAATAAAAATCCAACTAACCAAACACCACCATCCAATCAACTAATAGTTCGTGTGTGTCTATATATATATATATATATATATATATATATATATATATATATATATATATGGAGAGTATATATACAGTAGTCACCTCCATTTAAGATTATTTTATATACTCCATTTAAGATAAAATGAATTTATATATATAGTTAATTTACTATGAATACATAGGATATATATAGTTGTAACGTTATAGTAAATAACATCGTGAGGATATTTAATCTCGTGAATTAGCATAGTAATAGTAAATAACATCGTAAGGATAAGTTATCATAATCTCGTAAAATAATTATATATATATGTGTATGTGTATATATATATATATATATATATATATATATATATATATATATATATATATATATATATATATATATATATATATATATATATATATATATATATATATATTACGAGGCCTCGGCGTTGAATAATAATCATCATCATCATCACGGAGCGCCGTCCGTACCCTGACGGACGAACCAAAAAAAGCAAACGGTCCCCCTCTCCTGCCAACACAACCGTAAAAAGACACACAGGACTGCTTGCTCCTACTTTCCGGTCCGCTTGAGCAGGGCGTACGTGTGTTCACCAAGAAAGACACTGACGAACACCCCGAAATTGCCTAGCGTACGGTTCCATGCTGAGATGCCAGGCAGCACTGCTGAGCTGTGAAGGTCTCTCTCTGCACCTGCGTCTCAAGAGGACGATGTTTACTTCTCGAGAAACGTATAGTACTATTCGCAAAGAGAGAGAGAGAGAGATGTATAGTACAGGAGTGTACTCTAAAAAGCCCTGTATATATACATACATGCAATTATATTTATCAAACGCGACGATGCTTGTTCTAAGAATAGACGCGTTACCTGAATTTCGGTTATTATTCACAGATCATGCATGCTGTGCCTTCATATATAGTTCTCGTCCAGCTTGTGCCTTTCATCGCCTATTGGACAGAGCTTGGGTATACATGGCAGGCGTGTCATTTTCGGCAGCTGTCACTACCCGAAAAAGACACACAATCTGTGACCGTATACAGAAGTGATAGAGACCCTTGTAGCACCGGCCGTTACAAGTACTAGGTGTTAAGTTCCTTGTGTGGGATTCCTTGCTAGGATGTTATGGCTTAAGCCTTTGTGGTTGACTATGGAAGATATCCTCACTATTATAGGAACTAATATAAGTTCCTATACTAGTGAAGCATATTAACCTTCACTAATACTGGAGTTAATTTGATTAACAAAAGGCTTCCATGTAATGGTACTGTTCATGCTTTTGGTCTTGCTGCAACAGGCGGGGCAACTTGGAAAGCAAGGAACGGTATGCTTGTTTTGAGAAAAAATTCTTGTTAAGCATCACGTAGAAATAATCTATGTCCCTCATGCATGTGCTTATATGCTGGTGAGATGTAATAAGGGAATGTGCTGGAAAGGCATCGCAAGCGAGCACATCTACTATAATACTTGCTGTCTGTTTCGTCGGTCAAGCAAGCTAAGTGGAGGACAGACGGACATGAAAGTCGAGTGAAGATGGATAGCTGCCATATCAAATATCATCGATCTACTCTACCATCTTTAATCATCTATGTGGCCTTCAACGGCAACTTGTAGTTCGCTTATGGACTTGATGCAAGTTCTCTGAGTTAAATTGTGCTTGCATGTTTTTTAACTAGGCTAGTCGTCGCTTGGAAACAAGTAGTTTTTGTTCTAGCTAGTTTGATTGCCATGTGTGATGCATCGTTTCTGGTTACACAACTTCGTGTATTTCCGTTATTACAGTAATATTCTCTACTTCCAAATTATAAGACGTTTTATGTTTTCTAGATATATTGCTTTTACTATGTATCTAGACATAGTGTATATCTAAATACATAACAAAAGCTATATATGTATTAAAAAGCCAGAACATTGGGAGTAATCGACTGTCTTCTCGTTCCAAAGAAATATACATTGGCCAGTATTTTCTTAGCTTCTTTATCAAAAACATTGGCTACAACAAAGAAATCTACTGACTCGAACATTTCCACCTCAAATCTTTCAGCCTTAACGCCACTCAGACTTCCTCTTAGCTTGCCATTTGTGGGCAGCCATTCAAAAGATCTCTTAAGATCTATGTTTCTAAAACATTTCTCATCATACTTTTTCTTCATTCTCAGTTTCCTGAACATCTACAAAGTCCATTTGGTGATCATAAATGATATCTTTCGAAATGAAGTGTCCAAAGCCTTCTTTTGTGACCCCTCTACAATCCATATAAGACCTATCATGCGCACACTTCTTTGGCACAAGTATCGTCAGTGAGTGTTCTCAAAACAAAAAGTATCGTCAGTGAGTAAGGATGAAAACAGTCAAAGACTACAAACGAGGCTTCAATTGTTTCTACTTTCATGTATCCTCAAAATGAAATTGAATATCATATTGCTATAATCGAATATATATATGGAGATGATATTACAAGAAAAATGAAAAACAAAACTATCCAATCAAAAATGGCTCGATATACAATGATCAATAGAATATGAAACCGCACTACTACACGCCAGTATAGGCCTTTAGGTGGTAAAAGTCAACAGTGATAATCAAGCTCATCGATACCGGTTCAAATTGGCAGTGATAATATTATCACCACTGGCTCATGTCACGAACTAATATAATGGTGATGATGGATCCAAAAAAACTGGCTAGCAGAGCCCACCGATTAGGCCCGCTAAGCCCATCGACGTTGCTGGTCACCTTATCCAGGTTGCACCGCCATCGTGATGTCTCCTTCAACGTCGTTGATGTCTCGCACCGCCAGCCTTGACAAATCTGCCTCTCCTCCAGCCGATATGCCATGCCCTTGGCCAGATCTGCCTCCCTAGGCCTGCTCGTACTGGAGTGCCGAAGTGCAACTCTAGTTGATTCGAGGTTTGAAAAGCCCATTGCTTAACCGGCTCAATCAAGCTCTCTTGGTGAAGAGCCAATCTGGTGTGATTGGAAGGCTCGATCAAGGTGTGTTAAAGTCTTTGAGTTTGCCTTAACGTGGAGTAAGGGTAACTAGCAAGTCACCGAGAACACGTAAATAATTCTATATCTCCATTGTATTTTGTCCATTTGAGCTCATCTACTTTGCATGATTTATATTCATGTTGTTTATGTTCCACTACTACTAGAAAAGTTTATAGAGATCATAATCACTTTTCAGAGACAGGCATGCTACCCGCCTCACAATCATTGTCTGTGTTTTTTAGAGTTTTCTGAGGCGGGCATGATGCTCGTCTCTGAAAATGAATCACAAAAGATATAAAAAAAGCCCGCTAGTGCGCCTAAGCCCACCAACATAGCTACCACCGCTGCCATCCTGCATTGTTGTCGTCGCTGTCATCTGTTGATATCAACAGTGACAAACAGATAAAACCGCAAACACAGAACTATCAATCTATCAATGTAGCTTTCGCCTGGGAATATTTAAGAGTATCAATTTCCATGGAGAATGTAAAGCGGTCTAACAAAGGAGTAGGTTTGTCCTAGGATGAAACAAGGGTATAGATTGGGTAAAGAGGATTTCTATGGTTATGATAACCAGAAAGGTAAGGTAGATACAAAGGTTTTTCACTTCGGATCACTATATGAAAATTAACAGTGAAAAGGGGTGAGAAGGGCACTAAGGCTCCTAGAAGGGAAGGACCAACAATTTAAGAACTTGACCTAACGTGGTGGAATATAGAGATCAAACACGGTTGTCACCACCTTCTAATTACCACAAGACAAACCATAGGGCAAGCCGTAGACACATGTAAGATTATAGCCTATACACCACGTGTCTATTATATATTTACTACTCTGATCCAGATCCCAACAAAATTGACTAAAGCACTCGATAAGAGTTGAACCAGTTAACAACTCAATTAATTACTTAACAGATCTAGGGATTAATTACCATAAACAATCATGTATGCTTATTTATAAATAAGCCCACATTCATCAAGGTACAACTGGAGAAGACGCCGACAAGCCCGTCAATCCTTCACAGTGTCCTCACTCTCTCTATTTTCTATGCTATCATTAGAGTAGGGCTTCACATAGGTATAGAATTTGTCCTTGGTGTCTTTAGAGTGAGGGAGTACCCACACACATATATATAGTGGTTGAAGGTGGGCCCATTGATCCAAGTGCTCCAAATATAATCCATTGGATCAAACGCCATCAAACACACAATGAAGATAAGGAACTTTGTGTTTCTTTTTTGGCTTTTGGCTCATGGGAGGTTTTTTGGCTTTTGGAACCCAAGAAGTTGAAACAAATAGGGCCTAAAGTACAAAGCCACCAGCGTGAAACAAAGACAAGTGTCAGACCTTTTTTTGAAACCATCATCGTTTGCTTGGGAGTTTTTTTTCTAAAGGCCCTTATACTTGAGAGTTAATATGTTTTATAAATGATAAATGAGGTGCGGATATGACTCCGGTAAGAGTGAACAGGAGAACTGCTATTGGAGACCATAATACAAATAAACTACATCAACCACATCCCACAGAGGTCGTGCCTTGAATCCTTGATCCCTTAAACATGCCATTAACAAGTTTCTTTCCACAATAAACTGTATATACTAGAGAGATACAGCGATCCTAAATCAAGGCTCACGGGAGTGAGGCTGAGGAGTGTTCAAAATATCTTGTGCACACTACACTAGTACACTATCACACCATGTCAATGTTCGATTGAGGTTGAGTTGATGAACCGGCAATATCTTCCGCACCTCTGTCACCGAATCTTTCAGTACCAACATCCGCCTTAACTTTGCGTTTGATGTCACGCGATCCGTCGATAGCTCCTGCTTCGATCGCCTCTAGATATATTGCCTTCACCAGGTTGATGAAGCGCCTCCTGAAACTCGGTACTCGGGACATGTTGGCCACAATCCCTTGCAACCTATTATGAATAGATGGGTTTGTTACTTGGAGTTGCTTCAGGTTTATTTATTGTTGAAAGTATAGCATGTGGAAATAAGGGTGCGCTTGTACGATTGTACCTTCTGATTATCGCTTGCAGCTGACCTCTCTTTATATTGTCGTCTGACGGGAAACCGGAAGCGTCCCAGTCAGATGGCTTCTCGTTCTTGTTTGTCATGATCAGCTTCCTCAAGCACATCTCCTCGTCTCCAGTGATCTCCAGTTTCCTCATTTGATCCTTGATGACCAGAAGTGGCCCGAGCAACCAGTCAAATACTCTGTCTTTAGGCCAGTTGAAGTTTGTCACTTCGACATTATCAGCTACATGAACATACGAGCTATGTTGGTGAAACAAAAAGATGAAACAGGGACAGTGCACACTGAATCATATTGTTAGGTTTTGAAGTGGACATTCGTTCACATGTTGGGTACAGAATCATACATATGAGCAAACCGTCCGAATCAGAATTTGCAGATCGTAACAGACACTGAAAGAGACACCAGGTAGGTAATTTAACGCCTAACTTCTTGCATTTTCCTTTGGTGATATATTCCTCCATATCTTCGGCAGTTATCAGGCCCTCACTCAGTAATATCCTTCCATTGAGCTCACAGGAACGGAAGAACCAATCCCATATCTATGGAGTTTATAAGTGAAAAAAAAGAGAGGCTATTAAATCTTAGTTGCTAGAACAGAGATATAGATCAGGCATGATTAAGAGAGAGGCATGATTAAGAGAGATTTGCATACTTGAATCGGTCTTAGTCGCTGGACTGTTTGCATGAATTTCTTTGATGGATGCAACACCCTTCTATGCTTATGATGGCCATTTTGTTGCCTCTCTTCAGGTTCAGTCGTAAGCTTGTGCCCTTCCTTGCCAGTTTCACACTTCCTGATATCTGCTTTCAGGTATTTGGGCCTGCTGTCAAAAGTGGCTTACTGACAAATTGAAGAAATAATCTATGCACATGGAAGAAATGGCATGCAAGTGATAAACAAATTGTAGAAGGTAACTGCTAAATGTAATGGAAATATGAAATATACATCGAAACATACCTTGGAAGGCATGATCCTTCTCTTAGGTAAAGCAAATCATTGGTGTATTCATCAAAAATTGCTACTGCTGAAATCATGTATGCAAGTCCCATTTGGAAAGAAGCCTCCTGTGCATAATTGTAAAAGCATATGAGTACAGCTTACTTCATGTGTATTCTTGTTTCATCAGAGGAAATACTAGACAGACCTGATAAGCAATCAGTCCTGCACGAAAACCGAAAAAGAAGCTGCTGAAAAATGAAGCTAGTAACCCCCCAATCACAGCAAGTGGCCATAGTATAATGGCCAAACCAGCAAAAGGCACACATACAGTTTCTAAAAATGGCCCTTCCCTTCCAACTAGATCCTCACATAACCTTTGCCATCCTTTCAACAACATGCAGGGGCTTTTCCACAAAGCCACTGCACTTATCATCAGCACATCCACTGGAACAGCGATGAAGGCAACGATCATGCTTCGTGGTAGGTAAGACAACCTACATCAAAGCACCGTATAATATTAGTAACAAAACTGCACACATGATTTGATCTTACCTCCAGTCATAAATGTCCAAAATTTATGTAGATTGGCAACAAAATATTGAGATTACTAGATTATTAATGAAAAAACTTTATAATGTATATAATTGTTTCATTTAATACAATATACTTTTAGTTAAGACGAAAAAGGGTTTGGCCTACACCGTCCTTGGAGACTAATGGATGATGTTATGTACACCATGGTAGCGAAGGAACCAACTTGTCACAGGAGTTAATGTCCACACCAATGCACCAGCACCCGGCTGGATTTGTGAACCCTAAGCCTGCTTCAGTGGAGGACCATGAACTAAGCATTGAACAAACAACTACACAGTCTGGTTTACAACCCTTCACTGCACTGGCGGAGCCTCATGGTGCATTCAATGTGAAAACAGGTTCAACAAATGGAAAGTAAAGAGAAAACGTATTTTGCTACGCTTAATAATTTGATAGACTTGATAATTGACATATGGCACAATATGATGCATTTCAACTATGATCTTATTGAACAATTTGGCCCCCGCTTATTTAGTCCCCACGCTCCGCCACTGCTTCACTGGCAGCTGAAGTGGAAATGGAGATTGACAAAATCACCACCAATGCAGCAACTGTATCGGTGATGCAATCTGACGGCACTAAATCCAGCTGTACTGCTACAACGAGTGATTTTTTTGAGATATACAAGGATAAGATCAATTCCTTGTTAGCATCACAACTACACTATCAGTACCATTACTAGCTGCATCACCCACAGGGAACACAAAGTAATCAACGAAAGAGTAGTCAGCTAGCTGATAAAAGCCAAGAACTTAAGGCAAAGATACTATCCAGTGGGCACAAGAATTCTCTAACAAAAGAGATTAGGTGAATTGTCACCTTTCTCCAAGAATATGGGTTATGATCTGTTCAATCATTTTGCACAGCATTTCAAACAGCCCTTTTCCAAGATGAAGATGGAAGCATTAATGATTTTGGTTGAACATGGAATGCACCGTTCAAAAAAAGAAGGGAAGAGCATCCAAGGCTGTGGAACTGACTATAAGGATCTGTCATAGTGTGGCCAATAGACCCTAGCGATCTGGTCAGAACTCAGAAGAACCCTGGTTGCTGCTATGTGATGACATGCAGTGGCCTGGAGAGGTACACATCAGTTTGCACAAGGCCCCAATATCCCCATTACATGGTCCCTCCTGAAATATCTTTGGTCGGAAACATTGACCAGGATGAAGGTTTTCTGTTTTTTTTTCCGGGGTCGTTTTCAGTATGTTGGGCTATTAATGATACACGTTGTTGCTCTAGAGCTGTTGTGGGGTCATCTCTTCTCAAAAGTTTTGCTGCTTTAATTTTTTTTTAGTCATGTTTTAGTAGTCATTCCTGAGCAAGTTGTTGAGTAGTAGTTGGCGGGGAGTGTTACTCCATTGGTCAGTGGTGTTCTGCTCCCTCCTGAGCAGGGTAGGTGTTTGTTTCTTTTAAGGTTTTAGGCTCCTTATAAACTGGGTCAATTCTCTTCTTATAATAAAACGACAATAAAGTTCTTCCCGTCCTTTCGAAAAGAAATAGATTGACTTAGGACAAACCTAAACGGACTTATATTTATGATCTGAGGAAGTATAAGTATGCTTATTAGGGTGTATGTTTTGAAGTTCAATATCGGTTGAAGATATATGCATGATTAGCATTGGTTCTGAAAAAAGATGTAATATGCTCAATAGCTAGTCTTGATTACTGGGAGAGGGAAAATGTAAGTTCAAAACATACTTGATGTCAAGAGGGGCTTCATCGTCCCCCATTTTCTCAATAAGATCATCCATGAAAGAGGAGTACGAGTGGAAGCAGAAATCGGTGACATCACGGACAACCGTGCAAGCTCCAGCTATTGTGCTTACAGTTCCATCCTACAGCAATGAGATGATGTCAATAGAATTATTACACGACTCTTACCCGATCAAAGGAAAGAATCTGAACCTAAAAGGCACAACCATACCATAAAACAATGAGTGAGCTTGTCAGTGACACCCTCGCCAACAGCCTCAAAGGTCACCATAAGAGGTACAAAAACTCCATAGCCTATACCACCCAGAAGACTCCCAACAATAGCAAGCCCGGGCAAGAGAAGCAGCGGTAATGGTAACAGTGTTCCAATAAGAATCTTCAACTCCAGCCCGATCCTTTCGGTTCTGCAAAACCAGAACTAACAGAAATGATCACATCATTGATATCACATTCATTTAATTAATCAGGATACAGATGAGAGGCAAGGAAATCACACAAAACTTGCCAATGTAGAGGAAGTTACCGTACTTAAGAACACAGTAGTATGTCCAGATGAAATGCGCAGGCCAGAGACCAATAATAACCGCAGAGCTCCCAAAGAATACGATGGAAGCCGTAACCGGACCGACTAGGACAGCTGCAGAAAAGAAGAGTGAATCATTTGCATCTGCCTGAACCACACATGACATGGACAAATCGTTAACACTGAGCACAATACTACAAATGAAATCATCCACACAGAGACAATTCATAAATAAAAGCCGTGGCCAATCTGTGCTGCTGCTGTTACCTTTGATGGATCCCAGGAGCAGGAGGAGGATGAAGAAGGGCACGAAGGACACGAAGCTCCAGAGCTTGCCGAGGAAACCCGCAGGGACCTGCATGGATCAGAGCGAGGCCTAGGTCCTAACCAATCGCCTCGCCTCGCAGGTCAGTATCACGAGCTCAAAACTCTGCTGCTCGTATGTGTAGTCTTCTTGTTGTGCCCTGCCCTGCCCTGGCAGCGAAGCCGGAAGCCTCTGTAACAGGCTAGCAGCAGTGGGAAGAACAGGAGAAGAGAAAAGGGACTTGGACGCCTGCAAGACGAAGGTGTTCATCGGCATGTGAGAATCAGAGGCGGTGTGCTTTGGGACTCGCCACGTGTTGGTCTGCATGAGCCACGGGCCACGGCGTATACACGACGGTGTGGGCCCACTCCCTAGAGATGTGCATGGCATCACAATAGATTAGAGGGAGGAAATCATGACCTTCTAACAAATCAGAAGAACATACTTGATTTTTTATTCAGGATGCAGAATAACCTGAATGAAATGCTATCAGGAGCGTTGCCAGAATTCCCAGAGTGCCGGGTCCAGAGCTACAGATTCCACAAACATTGACTAGGATGAAGGATAACAAAGCAGGGGAATCAAATGTCACCATGCTAATTATTTTTTCCCCATGGACAACAAACTGATAATACGTCATGTGAACATACAGCAGCTAGGAGAGGACTACATGCTACAGCAATGTCATAGTGCCAAACATTGATACATGATCAGCCCAAGGAAAGAGAGGCAAAATGGCCATGTGTCATCAGCTGCCCGCACTGGTGGTTTCCTGCCAATGCTGCTCGTGACGATAAAATAGTGGTGCTAAACTTGTACACCAGTCAAGAAACAAAATGGTAATAGCCCATGGCCTGATTACAGAGCTATCTAATGTGGATGATCATCTTGTTGAAGAAATCCTTGTTCTCAGGAAAATACTCCAGCAGCTCGTCTTTAGTCACCCACGCGAAGTCCTTGCATTTTCCAATATGGTATTTCGTTGTGCCAACCACTTGTGACTTGAAAAAGAAACGCTGCGAAAAGCATAACAGGATTAATGATACAGAGAATTGCCAACGAACAGATCTTCCTAGCATACAAAGCCTAAGCAGAAACGCAAAAGCCAGTGTTGACAAGCGATGAGGAAACATGGCAAGGATATTAGTGAACTAATTTCCTTACAACACGCAAGGAACTACAATGTATTGCAAAGAGCTTTCATCAATTGGTCAAATGAATTAGGCACCTTAAATGGTGAAACACTTGAATCCGTTTGTTCAACTGCCATATGAGCCATTGGAGCATTGCCAACAAAGTATGTATGGTCAAGTCCCCCAAGAACAGATTTTAATGCAGCCTCGGCACACTGAAACAGAAGCCAGTATATAAGAAACCACAGATAACTTCTTCAAATCAGTTGTGCATTTAAGGATGTGATGTAGGCAAAAGAAACTGAAAGCAGACTACATCATGAATTAATTGATACTTTTTCATTCGTAAAATTGTAGAACTGCATACCAGTCGCATAGTTTCTTCATTTTCGTATACTTTTTCCGGAAAATGCCATACAGGTTTTCCATCAGGAGCCCCGTAAGCGTTTCCATACAGCAGGAGATAAAGTTTATTATCAAGAGCTCGTTGTAAAGACCTACATAAAACAATGGTTTAGTAGGGGCTTGGACAGCGCAGTACTTAAGAGCTAAGAAATGACATGGAACTAATTCATAAAATATATTCAACTTTCAGCGCACTTCTATGGTGCCACGCTTGCAAATTGAAAAAAAAAATCCTAATCATGTTGATTATAAAGTTGCCCATGACAAATGCTTATTGCAGTCATCTTTGAGCAGACACAGAGAATAACATCAATGAATGTTTTAGCTATGAACCCATCCAATGATGCTCTCCATTTTGGCTTCTAACAAGAGCAGACACATTGTAACGATCGTGAATAGCCTGTTGAGATCTGTATTACTTGCCCTCAAAACAAAAGTAGCTTAAGACTTCGACAGCTTGTACTGTGAACCATATGGAGCTATAAAAGTTGCTGTAGCATAGGTCATGATAGGCAACTAGCCAAGTACAACTAAAGCAATACACATATTTGAATATTGTAAATCAAAATCAATTATACAACTAAAGCAATACACATATTTGAAGATTGTAAATCAAAATCAATTATAATGTGTGTAGTTGTGTACCACTGTAAGAAGCAGAACAGGGAAGCACCAATGAATTGCTAGAGAATGGGAGAAATCCATAGCTTTCAGGGGTAGAAACTCCCTCCACAAATCGAAAGAATAAGAGCGACCTAGATTATTTCATGACCAAATTGCAACGCGTATTTAATGATGTTTTGGGTGTTATGGTTGCCTAACAAATGGAAGCTATATTTTAATTAGAGACATGTAATTTCATTGCACAATCACATCTGCAGTTCAACTAGTTATCATAGTAATTAGAGACATGCAGGACACCTGAGTGTATGGATACAAACAATAACCTTAAGACATGCCAGACTTTGCTCAGAAGAACCATATAGAAACTAATAAGACATGGAGGTGCAAAACTTACTTCCGGTCATTTGTTTTGTCAGCCTCGGTAATTCTTGGAGCAGGCACATAATCAATATGATAATCACCCTTACCCCTACAGAAAGAAAAGAGTTAGGATATTTTTCACACCCAGATAAAAAAGGGTAACTCAAAGGGATAAAACTGAGAAGGCCGTAGTAAAACTTCATATATCAGAGCCCGAGAGGAGTCATAGCTTATAGTAAAACATGTAGTGACCCGATTCATGTAATGTAATGAAGACATGTCTAAGTTTATTTATCACTTCATCTTTTTAATCAAGTTCCAATCTAGTATGTTCTACATTTAAGTATAGAGCTCATGATGTCTATCATCTATCATGAGTCTATTTGCAATTTCCCTAAGTGTGACCCAAAATGGGTACCTTTTTACGTTTTGGTCCTATTTTAGTATTAGTAGAATTGTTCGTCTACCACTACCAATAAGGTCGTGGTATTAAGGCTGCCCCAATATCAGTTTCAGGATTATAGGAGAAATTATTATGTTTCTACAACAACAACAACATAGCCTTTCAGTCCCAAGCAAGTTGGGGTAGGCTAGAGTTGAAACCCACCAAGAGCCCCAAGTCACGATTCAGGCACTTCAATAGCTGTTTTCCAAGTACTCCTATTCAAACATAGATCTCTAGATATATCCCAAGCTTTCAAATCTCTTTTTATTACCTCCCCCAAGTCAATTTCGGTCTTCATCTACCTCTCCTCATATTATTAGCTTGGCTTAGGACTCCACAATGCACTGGTGCCTCTGGAGGTCTCCTTTGGACATGGCCAAACCACCTCAACCGATGTTGGACAAGATTTTCTTCAATTGGTGCTACCTCTAGGAAATCACGTATATTATCGTTCCGAACTCGGTCTATTCTTGTGTGACCGCAAATCCATCGCAACATACGCATTTCTGCAACACTCAGTTGTTGAACATGTCGAATCTTTGTAGGCCAACATTCTGTTCCACACAACATAGCCGGTCTAATCGCCATTCATTTTAAATCCACAATTTCCAAATTCAAATCCAAACATAACATATGGTCTAAATGCATAATAAGCTAATTCAAACATAAACATAGGGCTCGTACACAGAGCATCACACACTCCCATTTCCACTCCCACTCCCTCCATTCTTGATGCTAGAATTTGAAAATACATTTGCATTTTATTGACAATTGCCAAAACACTCAGTAAGTTAGTTGCATAGTATATGTAATACTCCATCCGTTTTAAATTGTAAGTTGTTCTGGCTTTTCTAGGTGGATAGCTTGTACTTACATATACATTATGTCTAGATATTTAGTAAAAGCTATCTATCTGGGTGATTTGCAAAAATGGAACTCGAAACATCGGTCGTTTGTAGATTTGACACAGGACCCACATTCATAGACACAGATGGACCCACTTGTCATCCACCCAAGTGTCATCATAATCAAGGAATCAATCTTTCGAGTGTCATTTTTGCAATTTTTTCTATCTAAAACAAGCCAAAACGACCTACTATTTGGAACGGAGGGAGTAGTTATCACCGCCTATGTCTTTTTTCTAAATACCAATCAAGACCCTGTACTAATGCACCACAAAAGCATACTCTTTTTCTCTCTTCTCGCAATTTTGGAAGGGTTATTTTAAGACTATAGTCCTTATGCACAACAAAAATGCACTCATCCCATCCCATTTTAAAACTGAATTTGTTACCATACCTTCACAGCAAAATCGGAATAACCAGGAATGGGGTGGTGGGGGCGGTGAATTAGGAAAAATAAGTCCATGACACAAGGGAGGGGGAGGGGTATCACCTTGCGTCGGCCTTGCCAAGGACCTCCTCGGGGTATTGCCGTCTATACTGCTGCCTCCACCGAAATCTAATTAAACAGAGAAACGAACCAAAGCCACGCAAAACCAAATAAGCATAAACGAAGCAAGATCATATAAGGAGAGAGCGAACTGGATGAGCGGATCTGCCGTACGAGAATTCTTGGAAGGCGTAGACAACAGGGTGGATCTTGGGGATGACGACGGGGAGGCGCTCGAACAGCACCGACGCCACGAGCTTCCCGTCGGCCGTTTCCTTAGATGAAGCCAGCACAGAGGAGGCGGAGGAGTTGAAGCCGCGAGGTTCCCGGAGCGACCGGCGAAGAAGGCTCACCGTCGCCGGCAATCGGGACAACATGGTTGGGGGCGGCGGTCGGGTTCGGGGGTGGTGCCGCGCCGCAACGGTGCGAGGAGGGAACTGGGAAGAAGCCGAAGAAACAACCTTCTGCGGCTCTGCCTAAACCGTAGCCTCGTGGGCCTTGTCTCTACGGGCCGGAGCCCCCAACAATGCGCTCCCACTCTCTTTAATTCATCGTTCCTCTTTTTCCGATTTCTTGGGGGGTGAACCATCAAGCAATCATTGGCACCTACAGTAAATTTTTACATGCATATATAAAATTCAGGAGTGGTAGTGGAAAACAAAACTATAAATCTCCGTCATTGGATACATGTGCATTAATAGGTGTCATAAATTCGTGATAGCTGCTTCAGGGCAAGTGTAGTAAAGAGTTGTATGTTGAAGTGGAAAAGAAAAGAGAGGAGAGAAAAAGAAGCGGCCTATAAGTTTACAACCAGTTTATACATAAGAACTAAAAAAAACTTTATGAGAGAAACACCAAAAAAATAGAGAAGTTTGATGAGATAGATAAGTACGTGAATGCCACCACTGAGA